TCCTGCTGCTGTTGCCTTAACTCATCTGAAACAGAAGTGGCTGCCCCATGGAGGCACAATTTTAACAGTCCCCAAGATGAAGAAACAACTAAATCTTATAGACTCACCTCATCCAGGCTGGAGGACAGGTCACTCTGCAGAGAAGGAAAGTAGAGTTGGAGCAGTTCTCACCCACAAACCCATCCCAGGATAACTGGGATAGAATTCAGATAACTGGATAGAAAAAGGATGTTTCCCAAGTTCCTCCACACCACCCCTCAAATCTGAGAAGAAACCAGTGCAGGGGACACAAAACCATTGACAACCCAGCCCCAGGCAGTGCCCAGGCTGCAGGGAAGGGACCAAGCTGGAGCAGCTGGGAAGCAGAGCCCATGGTGCTGGGAATGCTGGAACTGCCCCAGGGCAGGAAGGCAAAGGTGTGCTGGACACCTGGGGGATCACATCTGGCACATCTGCCTCCTCTTACAGCTCCAGAGTGAGCTGCCCCACTCGTGCCAGCTCTTCACCACCAGCTGAAGGGAACTGGCATCTCGAGGTGGGGATTCCTCCATCCTAAAGCAGGTCCCTGAGAGAGGATGGACAAACTGCCTGTGGGCTCCAGAGTCCACCTCAAAGCTCTGCAGGAGCAGCTGATGGTGCTGGGAGCCAGCAGCTCTGCAGGGGTGTGGGAGGGGGTGGTTGAGAGCCCAGGAGCTGCGAGGAGGAGAAAGGCCTTACCTCAAAGCCAGGGATGTGGTGGACAGCAGGCTGTGGAGGAAAAACAGGTCATGGGCAGCTGCATCTGGCAGAGAAACACCAGAGCTCCCAGAGCCACGTGCTGCCCAGCTCCGTGCCCAGCACTGGGCTGCAGGGAGCCTGGGCACAGGGGCAGAGCTCCCCCTCAGACCAGGAGAGCCTCAAACCCACCCTGCTGCTCTCTGCTAGGGTCAGACAAAGCCCATGGGGAGGTCACTGGTTGGACAGGGGATTCTGTGACACTCCAAAGGCACAGAGCCATGGAAAAGGTTGGGTGGGAAGGGACCTTGAAAGGTCACCCAGTCCCACCCCCCTGCAGGGACAGGGACATCCCCAGCTAGAGCAGGGTGCTCAGAGCCCCGGCCAACCTCCCCTGGGATGGTGCCAGGGATGGGGCAGCGACCACCTCTCTGGGCAGCCTGGGCCAGGGGCTCAGCACCCTCAGCAGCCAAAATTTCTCCTTCTCTCCAGTCTCAATCTCTTTCCTCTAGTCTCAAACCATCCCCCCTTGTCCTGTCCCATCAGAAGTCCCTCCCCAGCTCCCTGCCAGGCCCCTGGCAGCCCTGAGGGCCGGGTTCCCTGGCACAGAGGCACCTCTTGGCCTCAGCCAGGCACCGAGGGCAGCACAGAAGGCAGAGAGGAGAGCAGCAGGGGCTGAGGCTGCCCGAGCTGTGCTCCAGCACGGAGCCTCTTCCATTGGCCTTGGCAAGAGCTTCCCACCAGAGCTGGGTCTGCTGGGAGCAGCCCCCCTGGTGAGCACCCAACCAGGACAGCAGGGCAGGGGCTGGGTCCTGCCAGTGCCTGGAGCTCCGTGGGGAGGAGGCAGGGAGGGGTGGGAGCAACAGCAGGTCGGGTGTGGAACTCACCTTCTCCCTCTGGATGAGCTCGAAGGCAGCCAGCAGCTCCCCCACCTTCCTGCTCGCCTTGAGGACGGGGTGCCAGGCCAGGCGCGGGCAGCGGGCCAGGCTGGGCTTGCAAATGCAGCGTCCCATGAACTCATCAGCCCCCTGGGAGGCAAGGACAGGCACAGGGAGATCTCCTCCCAGCCCAGCCCAGCCCAGCCCAGCCCAGCCCAGCCCACCACCCAGCACCCGCTGCTCACCCGGAACCTGGCACTCAAATCTGGCTCCAGGGAGGAACCACTGAGGGACCAGCTCAGGAGAAAACTAACTTAGAATCATGGAACACTTTGGGCTGGAAAAGGCCTTTAAGGTCCTGGAGTCCAACCATGACCCCAGCCCTGACAGGTCCCC